ATATTATTTCATTCATGTACCTTTTGCTTTGATTTATTTTGGTACCTGTACTTTCAAGCTTTCGAAAGGTTTATTTTGGTTCTTATAATTTCAACTTTGGTTCATTTTAGTCCTTATACTTTCAAAATATTCGTTTTTGTCTCTATACTTTAAAAAAAAGCGACTATTTTATCTCTATTTTCAAACTTTTAACACAAATTCTACACATAACGGGAACCATTTAATAGAAGTCATGGTTATATTCCAATGAATATATTAAATGTAGTATCGTGTTAAAATTGTGATAGAAAAAATGAGATTAAAAATAAAATTAAGAAACCAAAAGGGTCACTTATTGAACAAAAATAAACATTTTGAAACTAAAGAAATTAAAATGAACCAAAGTTGAGAGTACAATGATCGAAATGAACAAAAGTTGAAAGTATATAGGGACCAAAATAGTATTTTAACCTATATTATTTTTCTAGGTCCCACCAAGTGATTAGACATATTTGTTTTAGTACGACAAATTTGGAGAGCGGAGATTTGAACGCCCTACCTCAATAGATCGAGTTATGTATCCGACCTATTTAAAATTAATATGATACATGTTGCTATATACTATGTTATTAGCACCCCTTACAATAAAGTTTCCTTCCAAGGTTTTCAAATTCAAAATCTTTTATAGAGTTAAAATTGACTCTTTCTTTCTCGATACAAATGAAGATTGTCTTAAATATATTGATTATATGTACCTTTCTAAATGTATAAAGTTTTAAAGAGATAAGATAAGAATTCGTTCTCTAATAAAATATTTTCTCTACTTAAAATAATATCTTCTAAATAAACCCTTCCTAGTACAAAGGCATTCCAACTCCCATTAATTAACATGTAGTTTATAATACTTCTACTATTTTCCAAAAAATATTCATATTTTTAAAATAAATATAAAATGCTAGATTAAATAATATATACTTTTGTTCTAGGTAAATGTCAATTTTTAGTCTTTTAAAATTTCATTTTTATCCTTTCACTTCAATAAGACTCCTAATATATAGGATGTTAAAATAATGATGATGTGATGATTTAAATTTGTTGAACAAGATGGTCAAAGATTGTTAGAACATAATATTTTCATGATTTTGAGTTGGGTAGACAAGTCAAATCATGCAAAATGGATAAATTTTCAATTTTTTTTTATTTAATGTGTCATGTTATTATTTTGTTAATGAACTTTAACTCTAAATGATAATAAAGACTTGACTGAAATAATCAAAATCATATATTTGACTTTATTTTTAAAATTAAAGTATAGGATTACAAGATTTTTTTTTCTCGTTTCTTTTTTTAAGTTGGGTGGGACAGATTTTGAACCTTTGGCAATGCCAATTATTACTTTATTTCTTGTTGAATAAAATAAACTAAGGTGGCTAAAATTTTAGCATAGTTCAGATAAAATATTACAAAAGTAGTAAGTAGAAAATAATCATAAACATGATAAAATTAGAATACAAATAAATCATTGTTAATCAATATTTAAGCTAATTAAGTTTTTTCTTTTTACAATAAATGAGGTGAGGGATTCAAACTCATAACTTTTTTGTCAGAGACATATACTAATTACCGCTCATGTTGGCAAGCTGATTAACAAACTCTTAGTTGGAGATATATATCAAGTTGAGCTACGTTTGTTTTGGCTATATCTAAAATAAATTACCTTTATATAAAATCAAAACATATTAAGTCAAAACTAATTATATAAGATGCCTCTAAACATCTTGGTTGATTTCAATTATGCCTCTATTATTTCAAGGATTCATTTTGATTTTTATACGTTTTTTTAGTGCACTCTTATACATTTTAAATTATCTAAAAAACTCACCTTCATTTTTCTAGTTAGTCACCCATACCAATATTCATCCACAACAACATAATCACCTTCTCAATTAGTCCCAATTTTTATCTGTTTGATCTGGATGAGAGAAAGTAAATAAAAATAAAGAATATACACTTGTCTCTTTTCTTCTTCGCTCCAATTTAATATATGTAAGTTATATTTTATCGGATTATAATTATATCTTGATTACAACCCAAAATGTTAATGAAAATTTTATTGTAAGATACCGTAAAAGTTAAAAAGCTCATCGATTAATATGAAACTTTTAAAATGAGTGAAGTATAAAGTTGAAGTAGATATTTTATACCATTTAGCTTTTAAGCTAATAAAAAAATTAAAAGAATATTATATAATTTACATTTCTAATTACTTTTAGTTTAGTTTCATATTAATATGTGTTTTTTTAAAGAAAATGAAACTTCCCATTCAAATTTCAAATAATCCAGATTCAAGAGGACGAAAATACCCCTCAAATCCTGCCACCTCCAATGGGTAAATTGAGTCAAGAAAAGGACAAATACGGTCACTTTGTAAAAAAAGACGAGCCCAGTACTGCTCCTTTAAAACCCGATGAAGATGAAGAAGAAGAAGAAGAAAGCCGCTCGATTCCTTCAAATTCCGACTCCAATCGCTAAGCGGAGCTCCGTAACTATGGAACCCACAAACCCATAACCATTTCTCTCCCAAGAACAATCTCCATTTGATCGTTCTCTGAGTTTTCTTCCACTTTCAGGTTAGTTCATGTTCAATCTCTTCCTTTTTTTTCTGATTCTGCCGCCGCATTTCTCATCTTTTCTTTCTTGTTGTTATTACTTTTTTAGATTAAGGATTTCGCGAGTGCGTCGTTGGATTGATGTTCGAAACTTATTTTTCTGAATAGGGTCGGGTTTGTTAGCGTGATATTCTGATTTCTGAGTTGTGCATCTTTGAATTGAATCGGTTCCGAACTTATGTCTTTGGAGTTTGATTTCTGCGTCGTCTTTTTGCCATGGAAATGTTGGTGATTATGGAACAGTACAGAGATGAGTTCTGCTCTCGGGTCATAACTCTAGAACCGGCTCGATTTGGGAATCCGCCGATTAAAGAGGCGAGAGGGAAAAAAAATCGATTCAGTTTCCGCCCTACTCCATTGGAGATTTCTTCAATTCCTGTTCATCGTGTTTCTTCCGCCGATTTTAACAACCCACCCATTTCAACAACTGCAAGAACTGCTCCGATTCCAATCAATCCCCCAGTTTGTGTTAGCGATAGCATCGATCTCGATGAACAATCCTGTTATAATTACAAGAGTTTATCATTTCCTGAGCTTTGGGCTGGACCTACATACTCAAATTCCCCCCCTGCAAGTTCATTACCAATCCCCAAATTTTCAATCCGACAAACAAGAACTGTGTCACTGGAATTGCCCCCCGATTCAGCTGCTGAATCGGTTAAAATTCACCCTATTGTGAAGTCTGCACCACCATCCCCAACTCGGGGCCATAAGAATCATCATATTAATCATCACCCTTCTACCAGAGAGCCATTCCATGGTGCTGATTCTGCAACAAGAACACTTAGACGAATCCTTAACCTTGCTATTGACTCTGAATGAATGATCACTGATGCTTCAGTGAGCATCAAGCTCACTTTTATGTGTAGGGCTTTCTTTTTACTGTAAATATAGAAGTTTGATTCTGTTTTGGATTTCAGAAGTGGGATTTGCTTCTCAGCTTTTGTTCAATCTCAAGCTTCTCAAAACTGTGAATGGTTGCTTAGATTGGAGACTTGTTTGAAGAATACACTGGACAAGAAGAGAGACAGAGAGTGGAATGTAGGTTCTGAATCTGTATCTTCTCACTTAACCTTGTTGTTCATCATACACTTTTAGAGCTCTGATATAGTTTTGTAAACTTAGATTCTACGTAAATGTCTAAATGAAATGTTGCGTATGTTCCCAATTCGACATTTTCGAAAGAATTTGAGGTTTCTTGTTTTTAGTTCTTTCAACTTTGATTCCTTCTACTATATGTGTTAGTCAAGTCCATTGTTTTATTTGTCTGACCTAAACATAATTCAACTGATTAGTAATCTCCTTTACATGTGTTCTTGTGTCATCGGAGGATGTCATTTAACGTCGGTTTGCCAATCAGCGACAGCATTTTCATTTTCTTCTAATCGGTTTTTCTTATTACATCTTGACTCCTCTTCTTTGCACTCTACTTGAAGTTATAACATGTAATTTGCTTTCCACTCTGTTTTCCTTATAATGGAAGCTTCTTTTTTATTTGGTCTGTAAAGTTTAGTAAGTTCTTTTATGGTCCATCAAAATTTAATAAGTTGAAGATTTAGCCTTTACCATGGAAAAGTTATGGGACTCATTTTCTGATACTTGAATACTCAAAAAAATTTTAGCAAGATTTT